ATTTTCGATTTTAAATTTTCAACTTAAAAATGCTATAACTTTTTGAAAAATGTATATATCAGCACAAATTTTTTTTTTCTAAATACATTATAAGTACATCTTTCATTTGACATACTTTTTATTAAAATTGGACAATTTCCCCTTATATAGGGGGCGTTCATAACTTAAAATATTGTAAAAAACATAGATCTTTTTCAACTGACCTTTTGAAAATGTTCCGGAAATACTGCGTTCTTTAAACATATATCAAATTAAAGCTTATTTTATGTACTACAAAATGAAAAAAAAAAATTTGTCCCGACACTTTTTTTTCTACATTTAAACGGCTGCCGTAGTTAAAAAAACACTATTTTTGTGTTAAAATTTTCGATTTTCGATTTTAAATTTTCAACTTAAAAATGCTATAACTTTTTGAAAAATGTATATATCAGCACAAATTTTTTTTTTCTAAATACATTATAAGTACATCTTTCATTTGACATACTTTTTATTAAAATTGGACAATTTCCCCTTATATAGGGGGCGTTCAAAACTTAAAATATTGTAAAAAACATAGATCTTTTTCAACTGAACTTTTGAAAATGTTCCGGAAATACTGCGTCCTTTAAACATATATCAAATCAAAGGTTATGTTATATACTATCAAATGAAAAAAAAAAATTTGTCCCGACATCTTATCTTCTATGTGCAAATGGCTGTCGAAAATTTAAAAAAAAATGTAATGTTTGCGATAAAAATTATCTTTTATCTGGATGTTTTTTGTACTTAAAACTGCCATAACTTTTTCAAAAATGAACAAATAAAAATAATATTTTTTTGTATTGAAACCTTAGATATTTCCCTTTCATTTGATATAATTTTTTTTGAAAATCTAACACTTATTCTGCTCACTGGGAGGATTTAAAATAGTAACTTTTTTACAAAAAATAACTTTTTCAACTTAATTTTTGAAAATGTTCCGGAAATACTGCGTCCTTTAAACATATATAAAATTAAAGCTTATTTTATGTACTAAAAAAAAAAATTTGTCCCGACGACCTATCTTCTATACGCAAATGGCTACCATATTCAAAAATATGATATTCTTGTATGAAAATTATGGGTTTTGTATTTTATTTTAATAGAAGTTGATGTTGCTTTTGCAATTATCCATCAATTTTTTAAAATTAAACACTATCTACAGATTTGCATCGAAGCGTTTCTTATGATAGTGATTTTAATCACTGTCAGATTAAATCTATACTGAACCCAACTATGCAATGTCTCCACTATGCCGCGACCTACTGTGCTACCGTTTTTTTGTTATAATAATTAAAAAATAACAAATAAACTTATAATGAGTAATATATTTTCTCCTCTTCAACGTGATTAGGACGAAGGCTCTATGATAGCTCTTGATTAATTTCGGGCTGAGTCACGACACGGCGGTGTGATTTTTAGAAGGCGTGGGCCGCCCTGAAGCAATACCTAACGATAATCCCAGGGCGGTCCACATTATGCCGGTTGTAGAAAAAAAAAAATAGGTATTGTACCATAGTTGATCACTTTGATCATAGTAAATTTCCTCATAATATGAGGTTATAAGAAATTGAGTTTTAATCAATTTATTGTAAACAAAAAAAAATGTCATAGTATTGATAATAGTGTTACATACTTATTTTTGAAGAGAAAAACATATTTTTTCATTAAAATAGATGAATTTTTTTTTTTGTAAGCTATAGAACATAAACTTTCCTGTATAAATTACACAATATTATAACTCCATTATTAATGGACCCTTTTAAATATTTAGCCGCAAAAGAAATTTATCTAGCAAGGGAAATTAAGAAAAACCATTTGGAATAGCCTATATCAAATAAATATTTGTCCAAAACTCGAAAAGCTCGTCGTAAGTTTATACGCAACACAATCAAATATACCGTAAATATCACAACAAACGAGGATTAAAATATATTTAATGAGGCTTGGCGGAGAGATGCGCAGTTGAGGTAACATATTTGTGTAAAATTAAATACCTATTTTAAGACATTTTAACTGATATAAATTATTTTCTGCTTGAATTTCAGCTTTGTCATACATATCACTTATAATTTTATATGCAATTGTCATATCTTCATAAAAATTGATCAAACCAGCTTTTCGATGATACATTTTTAATCTATATATAAATTATGTGTGAAATAAAATGAAAATGTTCATTTAAATGTTAATAAAATAATTCATTTTTAATGTAATCAATTATTAAAATATTTTAGTAAATTAATTATTTATTTTATATAGTGGTGTATTAATTAGATTTATCAAAATAATAAGTTATTAACACCACATTTTTTTAAAACATAATTACAATTTTTTGTTAATTTGTATTAATGTACTGTTCCCATGGTGCCAAAGTGTGAAACAAAAATACAAAAATATAAAAAGATAAAATAATAATTCGTGAGACTATTCTATACATATAATGATATTTATTTTTTTAATATAAAATGGAAACTTAATAATTGTTAACACGGCCCGTTATAGCACACTATTAGCTTGTTATCCAGTTGTGATTATCAGCTCTCCACTGTCGTACTCGTTAGTAATGACGATAAAACTATGTTTGTTCATAGCAAAGCACAGTGGAAACGTCAGCGACTACATAAATCAATTCACCTGTGACTTACATCCGCCGCACGTGCAGCCATATTATATTTCAACGTATATATTCTTCACCCGTATTCTTAATTAAATACATCACAGTTAATTTTATTATATGTTATGATATTTTCTTAATTTTTAAAATAAAATAAACTGATATGATAATTTAAATAATATACGGTGTTACGTTTTGTTATTAAAAAGCGACCCTAATACCGTGCCATTGTTATGCGTTCCTTATTTTGCTAATAAACATTTTTCACACTTTTTGATTTAGTAGCTCCATAGTTCATTGAATTGCGAATTTTGTGTTAAATCAGGTTTATTTTGTGGATCGATGGAATAAAAGAACAGAATTTTAGTTTAAATGGACCCTGCAGGAATAATACAATTAGGCCCTAAGAAATTTATAACCGCTTATTGGAAATAGGGCGTACGGCACACGATTCACAAATCATATCTGATGATGTTAGATATAACTGGCAACCCACGGACATACGCGTTATTAACACAGTCGATATGTTATTGCACAGCGGATTTAACGACACGGTGGCTGACATGTCATACAAAAAAAAAAAGTGTAACATAGGTTTCTCCGAAATTTCCTTTTTGGGGTATAATGCACACGGTAAGGGCATAGACCAGTGGCGTAACGAAGGGGATAGACTCCGGTTCCGGTCCACCCCTCGGCGCGTATAATATTTTATTTTTTGTATTACAACAAGTAACATTGTAGCTACAGTAAAGTAATTCATACCACTATGTGATTAATACTATCAAATTTCCATGTTATGACCTTAATAATTATTATCATAACTATGGTTCTATATCACATGTATCAGCAACTATATTTAATATACATTTAGTCTTTGATCTGCTATCAAATCATTTATTGTTATCGTAACAGTTTTGAAATAACAACAAATTAATATTATTTGTTACAATAGTATTTTTATTTGTTTTTTTATTTTTGTCGTTTAGTAAACAACTGTAAAAACACTGTGGTTAAATGAAACGTTTAATAAAAGAATATTTTAAAGCTAGTATTCCCGATCAAAGGGCTCCCTTACCTACTTCAGACAAGTTTTCTACAAGTAACAACGTTTTAAGGGAAACGGAAGACTACATTCATAGCGGGTTTGATATAACGAAATATATTGGTAAACATATTCAAATAATGAATAACTTAAAGCACTTATTACACTTTGGATCCCAGGTAAAAATTATAATTATCCTATTACGACTTAAGACAATAAAAATTAAAAATTTCAACTTTATTGGTTTGAGAAGTGGAATTGGAATGCTTATAGTAGTTTAGTTGATGGTGCTTATTGTAAGTATTGTGTACTACTTACTATAAAAAATGGTGAAAAAGGATATCAATTGCTTGTGCAGCTTTGCAATCAACCATTAAAGAATTAAAAGTACGTTAATGAAAAATTTAAATCACATGAAAGCACTAATTATCATACCAGCTGTATATTAAGTTATCAATCCTTGTCAAAAGTTATTTCAGGGCAAGCAAATTCTGTGTACGATCAACTAGATATAGTTTCAATAACAACAAAAAGAAGATAATAGAAAAATCATTTTACTAGTTAAAAAGTCTGTGATATTCTGTATTCGTCTGGGAATAGCAATTAGAGGTCATCAAGATTTAGAATAAAATGAACCAACAGAGAATGATAGTAATTTTCGGGCGTTATTAAGATTTTATATAAATGCAACTGGAATATCAAAAAATAATAGCCATGTATTAGCACGAGAAAACTGTAAAAAACGCTAGTGTATAAGTCCACAAATACAAAATCTGATTGTTGATGCTTGTTATATAGTAGAGTTTAAAAAAATTAATAAATTGAAATATTTTTCCATAATTGCTGAAGAGACTGCTAATGTTTCAGGTACAGAGCAGGTATTTTCACTTTGTGTGAGATATTTTAATTCTATTGATAATACAATTCATGAGGACTTTTTAAAGTTTGTACCCGTTCATGATGTGAGTGGTAGAACTCTAGCAAATACCATAATTGATATATAACTAAAAAGTTTGAACATAGATATTAAAAATTTAAGAGATCATGGGTATGATGGCACAGCCACTATGAGTGGCAAATTTAATGGAGTTGCTAAATTAAAAACGATTACCCCACTGCCCTGTACATTCATTGCAGCTCTCATAATCTCAATATGGCTATATCATATTATTGTAATATACCTCAAATTAGAAATACAACTGAAAGGTTACAAATATAATAAAAGAAATAATTGAATGAATTGGCCACAACGAAAACTTTGTAACTTGGATGGCGCATTGAAAAAAATCAAAAGAGTGTCGCTAACCCACTGGGCGAGACAATGTAATGTCGGACCACAGTAGTATTTAAAAAAAAAATTAAATATTATACAATGATAGCAATTTAAAAATATAATAATAAAAACATTGTATTTTATGTCTGTTGAGTCGTTGATAGTTGATGTACACCAAAACCTTGTGACAATTGTCACATAACCATGATGATCAGAGATGACCTTATACAAGGCCGTTGCCCGTACCTTATAAACTAGGGGTAGTTGATTTTTGAAAGGAAAAATATACAAAATACACGAGTCCTTTGAAGATGGACACGCAAAATAAAATACGATGTTAAATTAAAGAGACTTTATTAAGTAATAAAAAAAACAAAAAAAATTAAGTTAATACGAGACAAAAAACAGAACAGTCAAAAAACCTCGTCTACAAATTAAAAGAACAGATAGAAAAAAAAAGATATTAATAAAAAAAATACTAGTTACATCTATACTTTTACAATTAGAGAATACTGTGAACGTCTTCAGGTAGCCACCAGCTATTAATCGCGGCATTACCGCTAAGCACGGTGGGTATACACCCCAAGTAAGCGACTGATTTTGAGCAGTTAGACTTAGCTTGCATGACGTTAGGACACCCCGGAATAAAATGCACTACATTACCATATTGTAATAATAATATATACACGCCTCATCCCAAATAAAACCTAAATATAGTGGACGCCGCTTATAAGACTCACTTTAGGACCAGCACAAAGTGAGTCTTATAACCGAATGAATCTTATAGGCAAAGTTGGAAAAAAATAAAATATTTATGAAATTTTTTTTACAACATATTTGTTTTTTTTTAATCTACTTAAATATATACATATTATACACGTATTACTTAATATTTATTAACACTAAACGAAAAAGTACGTATGTCGAATGAAAAAGGGATTATTAAAAAATAGTATTTCCCATAAAAAAATTATATTGATCAATACACTTTTCAATAAGTTATAGCATTATAATGTTAAAAATGTAAAAAATAAAATTGAGAATTTTCACAAAATAATAGCATTTGGTAGCCATTTTCACCTTGAAGATAAAATAAAGTCCGAAATTTTTTTTTTCCATGATAAAGTATATTACATTAGCTTTAATTTAAGATATATATAAAAGTGTCAGACTTTCCGGAACACTTTCAAAATTTAAGTTGAAAAAGTCAATTTTTTGTGAAAAAGTTGTCATTTTGAATCCCCCCCTGTAGGCAGGTAAAAAGTCAGATTTATAAAAAAAATATACCAAATGATAGGTAAAGACATCATGCATCTACAAAAAAAAGAATTATATTGATCCATACATCTTTCGAGAAGTTATAGCATTATAAAGTTAAAAATATAAAAAAGAATTTTTTTACAAAAATCGTATTTTTTTTATTAAGTTTAATGTCTGTTTTCACCATGAAGATAAAATAAAGTCCGAAATTTTTTTTTACCATTATAAAGTATATTACATTAGCTTTAATTTAAGATATATATAAAAGTGTCAGACCTTCCGGAACACTTTCAAAAGTTACGTTGAAAAAGTTCTACTTTCTATATGCATTTTTATGTTTTGAATCCCCCCTGTATTTAGGGAAATGGTCCGATTTAAAAAAACAGTATGTCGAATGAAAGATCTATATAAATACTACTTCTCATAAAAAAATTGTAATGATTCATACATTTTTCAAAAAGTTATAGCATAATAAAGTTAAAAATGGAAAATACAAAATCGAAAATTTTCACACAAAAATAGCATTCGGTAGCCATTTTCACCATGAAGATAAGATAAAGTCCGAAATTTTTTTTTTTCATGATAAAGCATATTACATTAGCTTTAATTTAAGATATATATAAAAGTGTCAGACCTTCCGGAACATTTTCAAAATTTAAGTTAAAAAAATTAATTTTTTGTGAAAAAGTTGTCATTTTAAATCCCCCCTTGTGGGCAGGTTAAGGGTTAAATTTATGAAAAAAATATACCAAATGAAAGGTAATGATATTATGCATCTATATAAAAAAGAATTATATTGATATGTTTATTTTTGAAAAAGTTATGGCACTTTTAAGTAAAAAAAATTGAAAAAATTTCGAAAATTAGCGATTTTTAAATTTGTAATTTTTTTGGAGGTTTCCCCCTTTTACGGGGAACGAGGGAATTTTTTTCAATTTTTAAGGGTAATGTCTTCGACTAGATACGATTTGTGATCTTTTGACGTATCATTGAAAGAAATCGGTTCGGTGAGAGCTGAGAAAAAGTGGTAACAGACACAAAAAAAAAAAAAATAAAAAAAAAAACACATCTTAGTAAAACCAATACCTTTTCAGCTTCGCATCGAAGCTAAAATTATAAATTATGTATTAACGTACTTATTATTTATGAAAAAAATTTGTTTTTTTGGTTTTGTTTTGAATTATGTCCTAATATTCCAGAAATATACTTTTCATACTCATATTGTATATTAAAATTAACAACTCGGTGATGAACAGCTTTCCTTAACACTTTTAGAGCCTCTAAAACCTCATTGTTTGATGGTGGTTTAACCTCTTCCTCATCGTAATCACCTTCGTCATTTTTCTCTTCATTGATACTGGTCGATTCATTTGCGATAAACTGACAAATTTGATCCTTAGAATACTCTTCAGAAGTTTGAAAATCACTGTCAATATTCATCCAATCTACATATGTTTTGGCAGTGAGATCTTCCTGCGTCTCAACAGACCTGTTTTCCTCCTCTTTTTCCTCTTCCTCAGTTTTTATGAAGCCTCCGTGACGAAAGCAATTTTGTATAGTCACATCACTTATATTATTCCATGCTTCATTTACTAAGTGTAAAGCCTCAAGAACGTTAATTTTCTTGGCTAGATCATTAGCCTTTAAAGTCCAAGATGACTGACATTCAAGTGTTTCATCAAGGAGAGTTATTATCCATTCCCTTATTTTAGATCTATAGTAAGCTTTAAGAGTACGAATTATTCCTTGATCACAAGGCTGAATAAGTAATGTGGTATTAGCCAGTAAAAAAACAATTTTAAATTCTTCAAATTTAAACTTACATTATGAGCCGTGCAGTTGTCTACCAAAAAAAACATTTTTCTGCTTAGTTCATTATCCCACTTGATCAGCCACTGGCTAAAGATTTCTTGGGTCATCCATGCATTTTTATTTGCTGAATAATCCACAGGTAAAGATTTAACTCCTTTGAAACAACGTGGATGCTTACTCTTTCCGACAACGAGCAGATTCTTTTTTTCTCCCGTCATACTGGCACAACAAGTTTTTGTTCCTTTTGCTTTGTCATTTTTCAGAATATATGTATGTTCAGGTAGCACTCTAAAGTACTAACCAGTTTTATTCATTTTCTAGCCAAAAATGTACGCCAGCAAAATCTGCGTCACCATGCTCTCCATGCGTTTTTTAAAAAGAAATATTTTTTCTTTTTTTCCACCGATAGAACCACCCTCTGTTGCCTTAAAGTTAACTTTCCCCGATTTTTCTGCCAGTTAAGCTTTTTGGCGAAGCATAGGCCTGACACGCGAGCATCTTTATTTCTAACATTTACGAACCATTTTTTCAAAGCGCGTTCAACAGCATCATCCTTTTAAGCATGGTAAAATTCAAGTAGAGCTTCAATTTGTGTTGTTCTTGTATAAGTTTCTACGAATTCTCTATAAATTTTATCTTCTTGGGGTTGTATATTTTCCAACTTACTTGAAATTTTTTGAATAGTGGAATATAGGGACTATTAGTCACATGACTAATTTTTAATTCAAAAAAGCTTTTTTGTACCAACTCATAAATATGATGGCGACAAGCAAAAATAAGCAAAACTGGCTATTCGCTATTAAGGCGTCCTATATTGGAAGCTGTTGTATCACAGCTTAAAATTAACACTTTATCTTCAAGATTCCAGTTAGTGATTCCAAAATAATAAAAAAAAATAAAAAGCATTCCAAATAGCTTGTGCTTATTCTTTACCAATGCATTTTTCTAATTTTGGAATAGAAATCAGTTATTGTTTATTTCTGAATGAAATAAAAATAGGGAGTCGTTCTTTTTTTTTATTACGGTTTTCTTGTGCAGGCAAAAGTTTTCCGTCCCAGAGTACCGTAGCAATGTCTGGTACTTAATTCTGAAAATCCATTTTTATAGCATGTTGTATAGATGACTAGTAAATTTCTGTGTATTAAACCCTGGTGTTTCAAGGTAGCTTGAAGAATAAATACAGAATCTCTTGTGCTTAATTGACACCTGTCTAGCGCAGCTTCTAATTTTGGAGTTGAAATTCTTTTTTTGCTAAAATTGTAATGGTTTCATTTTTAGAAGTTGTGTTGTCCGATACCATTGATAAATTTTTTTGCAAATCTATCATTTCACCAGAACTGCAAGATGAATCATCCTGAATATGTACATTTAATTCTGAAGAAAATGACGGAGTTAAATACTTTATTTTCCTATTTTCTTCTGCAATAGACTTAAATTGTGCTCTTTCATCCTTATCTTCTAACATTTTATCCAGCCCAGCTAAGTGTCCAGGTCGACCAGACTCTCTTTGCTGTTGCAGGAATATCTTGTCATCCACAATTTTAATTAATTTATTTGCACCCGCATGAGCAATATCAAATAAATTATTTAAATTTTTTACGAATGCTTGCTCACATTGTATAAATTGTTTGCTTTATTTGCATTCCTCTACAGGTCTCTCCAAATGTGATACAAGTCAACAAGTTTTTATACACAGTTTGGTATTGATTCGCACCTTTGCCCAAAATTTAATACACTCACAAAGGAGGAGACTAGCACTTCATTCACGGTTACTTTTATTTCACGCATATTACACAATAAAACAGTTAGTACTTGCCCATTATAAGGAAGTTTTAATTTGATGTTTATGTCACCCATTCGATAGCGAAATTCCGGTCCGCGAACCCGAAGTGGGCGTTTTAGACAACTCCACGGACCGTATCTGTGAACTCGACGCGAACAATCAGCGGCCCGTCGTAGCACCTTTACCGGAGGAACATCCGGTGAACCTCGCGCTACACACATCAGACGACGAGTCTGATGTCGAACAACCGGGGGAAATTACAAGCTGTCAACTAGGCGCGCCGTACGTCGAGGACGTATACGTTGCCCGCTCGATAGCAGAACAAGTTGGGGCGATCAGACAGAACATTCGCGACATTTCGGATAACGAGCGAATTGAGGCACGGATGACTGAGCTAGAAAGGTCGCTGTCGCATATGTCAATGGAACATCGACAGAATTCCAACATGCTTGAGCGAATCAATCAAAATATGCTGCCATCCCCACATGTTGCTGTACAACCGACTATTCGACAAGATAATGTTGAACAAAACGATAGTCGACGATCGAACGCGCATCGCGTTACATTCGGTCCATCGGGAGCGACGGACCCGACACAACACGACGCAATACTACAGGAGCGCCTCGCGGACATCAAAGCGCAACCTGAGACGGTTGTACGGACAAGCGTCACGCGCGTCGCTACCACGGATGTGTAGCACGGGTTAGCAAGACGAACTTATTCCGCGCACTCATACATATGAAAACGAGACAACAGATTTAACGTTTACACGCCAATCACGGGAGGGACAATTCAACGCAACCGACGGTCGTCTATCTTTTAACGATTTTAATGAAACTTAACCACGACCTGCGCACCGTACATGCCTGCTTACCTCAATATTATGGGAGAAACGAAGATGACCCCCGGGAATTTTTAGATAGAGCGGAGGATCTACTCTGTCAGGGTGGTATACATCCAACCGCTTGGGTGAACATCGTCCTTCCGTTTTTGAATGACAGGGCAAATGATTGGTGACGAGCCATAAAACTAAATAATATGCCATGGACGGAATTTAGGTCCGAATTACTCGTGGAGAAAATATCGACATCAGGACTGCGCTGAAAACATACTTAAAAACGACGCGACAAGGCTCCCGACAAACGTTAACCGAGTTTATTATTCATAAACAACGTTTGACCGCGCGAGTACGTTGTGGTTGGTGTACCGGAACAGAAACTTGTGCGACAGTTAACTTTGCTTTAACGGGACGATTACTGCGCTATGTTACGGTTAATGCACCCAGCGTCTTTCGCCGATCTACGTGAGATAGCGCATGACGTAGACAAGACCGTGGCTCCTCGGTACGCTCCACCAGCGTACCGATAGCAAGCCGAACTGCCTCTGCGGCATACCGCCCAAGTCCATGCCGATATTGCGGCGAGTGACACTGGCATCGCCAATGCCCAAATAGACTTATCGAAATAGAGGGTATGCTACGGTAAATTCGGATGTAATCAGGGTATCGGAGTTCGAACACACTGCCGACACAACCGATAATAGCGCAAATCAGATGTTCAAAATTTTTTCTTCCTCAGTGAGAACCTCCCTCACTCCGGTGTCATTATACCCGGCAAGTCTACTAATAGCAGTTAACACTGTCATAGGGCAAACCGGCATCGCGATTAAGAACCAGCTGCCCCCCGATTGATTCGTAAACCACCCGAGTAATGACCAAAGAAAATGCCCGCGTAGAATTACTACTCCATCAGTCGAGTTGGAATTCGAAACTGGCTTCGTCACAGCTTTATTCGACTCACAGGCTCATAAATCATTTGTAAAACCGGTAATTGCTTATAAATACGTAACTGTTTTTTAAGGATACACAGACGCGGTTAGACTAGCGGACGGACACATCGCCACGTTTACCGCTAAAATCGCGGATTTGGAAGTGCGTTTTTCAGCGTTTATTTTAGATGACCTGTATTGGGACGTATTATTTAGCCATATTTTTTTGATTGATCAGAAAGTCGCCTGGGACTACTCAGCAAGAACCGTGACCTGAGGCCATTCGTGTAGGGACTCAGCTTCGAAGTCCTTTAGCGCCAAGTTAACAGGTTGAGCCGTGTTTGTTAGGGGGAGGGGATTGACAGTCCGACATAGTGCGGGGACTTTGTCTACCAGTGACCCGCGATTTTTTTACATTTTTATCGAAATAGATCACTTAAATAAAAATCATAGTAATCATTTCTAATTAACTTTTGGCGTTTAAAAAGATTCTACAATGGAAATATTCAGAATTTAATTAATTTTAATGATTATATATCTAAAAAAACCAATAAAAAAAAGTTATTCAATTTAGCCTATAATAAAAATAATAATTATAAAAAAATAGGGCAGTGTATTGCCCTTATAAGATATTTTAAAATAAAATAAAATACAAAACCCAGGATTTTAACACAANAATGAGCAGGTTAAGCGATAGATTTTCAAAAAAATGATATCAAATGAAAGGTAGATATCTAAGGTTTTAGCATAGAAAATAGGTCGTCGGGATAAATTTTTTTTTTTAATTTTATAGTACATGACATAAGCTTTAATTTTTCATATGTTTAAAGGACGCAGTATTGCCGGAACATTTTCAAAAATTAGTTTTTGTAAAAAACTTACTATTTTGAATCCCCCCCTGTGAGCAGAATAAGTGTTAGATTTTCAAAAAAATGATAACAAATGAAAATAAATTACATAAGGTTTCAATATAAAAAAATATTATTTTGATTTGTTAATATTTGAAAAAGTTATAGCAGTTTTAAGTACAAAAAACATCCCGATAGAAGATGATTTTTATCGCAAACTTAACATTTTTTTTTTAATTTCGACAGCCATTTGCACATAGAAGATAAGGTGTCGGGACAAATTTTATTTTTTCATTTTATAGTATATAACATAACCTTTGATTTGATATATGTTTAAAGGACGCAGTATTTCCGGAACACTTTTAAAAATTAAGTTGAAAAAGTTCTATTTTTTATACAATATTCCAAGTTTTGAACGCCCCTTATATATGGGGAAATTCTCCAATTTTAATAAAAAGTATGTCAAATGAAAGATGTACTTATAATGTATTTAGAAAAAAAGAATTTGTGCTGATAATTACATTTTTCGAAAAGTTATAGCACTTTTAAGATGAAAATTTAAAATCGAAAATTTTAACACAAAATTAGCGTTTTTTTAACTACGGCAGCCGTTTACATGCAGAAGATAAAGTGTCGGGACAAATTTTTTATTTTATTTTATAATTCATAAAAATAAGCTTTAATTTGATATATGTTTAAAGGATGCAGTATTTCCGAAACATTTTCAAATATTAAGTTTAAAAAGTAAATTTTTGTAATAAGTTGCTATTTTAAATATCACACAATGAGCAGGTTAAGTGTTAGATTTTCAAAAAAATGA